CTGAAAATGAAAAAATTAATAGTAATGAACCTGAAATAGTTGAAAAAATTTAAAAATGTTGTAATCTCCAATTCGAAATTCTTAGGAAAGCTTGAAGATGAAATTTTTTAATAATTCTGAAAGTATAAATCAACGGAGTATTACTTATTATCTTTTTAATTTTTTCATTAATTACTTTCGGAATAATTTGAACAGTTTTTGAGCTATTAGCAACATTTGCTTCAAATTTAATAATAGCCATTTTCCTTCACTATAATTTTTTTTGAACTTTGAATAGTATTAAGCAAAAAAAGTATATGTCACTTGCGTATCTTACATAAATAATTAATATTCAAATTATATATATCGCACATTTTTCTCTTTTTTAGTAGACGTATAACACGGAAGAGAATCGAGATTATCAACTTTCATCTCGACTATCGAACCAGGAAGCTAAAAATTTGTCTTGAATCACAATTGCAAATTGGCATTCAACGAGTAATAATAATTTTTCACGTAATAAAGCGTAAAGTTGACTTTTAGTCTTTTTTTTTGCAAAAAATATCCGAGATAAAAAATAAAAGATAATTTTCAACTTACTTCAACTTCAGGTGTCATATTTGGCAAGCTATTCATATTTTTTTCATGCAGTACTGACTTTGCCATTATCTCACTTTTTTTCGATCCTAAGTTGATTGAAAATTGAAAATAAATAAATAAATAAATTTTCCAACTTTTTTAACAACGAAATTGCTTGTTTAACAAAATAAAAAAAGTTCTGAACAAGTGGCGTCATTTTGTTATATTAATAATACACTAAGTATGCTCTTTAATTACACGTGTAAGGGATCATTATGAACTAAATAAAACCTGACTTGAGTATATGGAATAAAACTTTACTTAAAAGGCATATTTTTGCATTCAAAAAGAGGGATTAGCATCGAGCAGTTCAAAAAAAATAATAAGGTAATTATTTCCTGTTTTATTCGGTAGCAAATTTAACAGAATGTACCATATGCGGAATCCAAAAGTTGATTCGCTGCACTATGATTTCCGTTTAAATTTACACAATTTATATTTGGTAATAACTTTTGAGATTTAGATGCTGTGGATGGTAAGCAAATCACTTCTTGCCTTTGTGTCTCATCCAAAAATGGTGGAGATATTAGCTAAAAAGTTATTATTTGTAAAACTAAATTCTTTTACATAATTAATAATCAACAAGTGATAAAATGTTAATTCATTGTGATAGCGAAAAAGTCTTGAATAATTAGCTTGGAATGAAATAGGTATAATTCAATGCATTCAAAATTTAAAACTTCAACAAGTATAAGTAATCAGAATTGCTATTAAATGAATTA